CCTCCCCTACTTTTTCTCTGAGGTTTGTCAGTCTGATGCTTCTCTGTCTCTGGATCTGTTTTTCATCAGTTTATGTCGTTCATTATATTCCATAAATGAGTGAGATCATGTGATATTTATCTTTCTCTGACTGGCTTATTTTGCTTAGCATAATGCTCTCCAGTTCCATCCATGCTGTTGCAAATGGTAAGAATTTCTTCTTTTTTACAGCAGCATAGTATTTTATTGTGTTGATGTACCTGCATATGGTTTTATACTTTTGGCTCTAAACTACTTAAAACACATGGCTAGCTACTAACCAAAAGGTGTTTGTATCGCTGAATATTTCAAATATTTTCACAAGTATAGAGAAGATTATAATGAACACATGTTTTTGAATCTTTATCAACATTTTCTAAGTTTTATAGATCCCCCCCCCCCTTTTTTTTGATGAAAGCTTAAAGAATAAACTTTGAGACTTCATTGCAGATACCTTTTTCCAAGCTTTTTTCCATTCTGTTTGAGAGATGACTACCATCTTACTTGCCATTCTGCTCAGGGAATAAATTTATATTTAGAGTTTCTTGTAGTGACATTTTTGAAAGTTGCATTCTGGCTATACTGATAGGATTTGTTTGTAGTAGAATAGTTTTTATCATTTTTGAAACCTTGACTTGGAAAAAAATTCCAAGTTTGATTTGTTATGAAATACTGTGTTCTAAAACTAAAAGATCTATTAAACAGAAATTACACTCACTTAGCTAAATGTTTGTCAAAATTAGAGGGCATGGAACTTTAATTTCTTTATGTTACATGAAAATTCATGCCCTTGGAGGGGGTCCCCTCACCCAGCCTGCCCCCTCTCATAGTCCAGGAGCCCTCAGGGGCGGGAGGTGATGCCCCATCACACCTCTGCTGCTGCCACTGCCTGCAGTGCAAGCCTCAGCTGGCCTGGTTACCTGCACCTCGGCTGGTCCTGGGAGGCTGGACAGCCTATATCTGAGACTTGCCTGCGCCTCGGGTCGGTTGGGGGGCTGAGGGGACTGGGGGACTCTGGAAGCAAGTGGCAGGCACTTGGGTGAGAGGACGATGATTTAAATACCTGAAACTCATCATACCTAAAGAATAAATCGGTGTTTATTTAAAATTGGGCCGAAACCGGTTTGGCTCAGTGGATAGATTATCGGCTTGCAGACTGAAAGACTCTCTATCCCTCTCCCTCTCTGTAAAAAATCAATAAAATATATATTTTTTAAAAATCCCTGGCTGGGTAGTTCAGTTGGTTAGAGTGTTATCTGGATATGCCAAGATTGCAGGTTCAATCTCCTGTCAGGACACATACAACACTCAACCAATTGCCCTAACCGGTTTGGCTCAGTGGATAGAGCATTGACCTGTGGACTCAGTGGTCCCAGGTTCTATTCTGGTCAAGGGCATGTACCTTGGTTGTGGACACATTCCCAGTAAGGGGGTGTGCCAGGAGGCAACTGATTGGTATTTCTTTCCCTCTTCCTTCATCTTTGTAAAAAATCAGTGGTGTCTTACAACTAATTGATCACAGCCAGTCACAGATTTCTTTGTTCCTTCTCCACCCCCCTGTTTCATTTGACTGGCAAAAAAAAAAAGACTCAACCAATGGCCCTGGCCAGGTGGCTCAGTTGGTCAGAGCATCATCCTGTGCACCAAAAGGTTGTGGGTTTCATTCCCGGTCAGGACATTTCCCTAGATTTTGGGTTCGATCCCTGGTCCAGGCCAGGACAGGAGACAACCAATCAATGTTTCTCTTTTTCTTTTCCCTCCTTTGCTCCTTCCTTGCCTTCCTCTTTTTTAAAAACAACATCATATCTTTGGTCTTTGGGTGAGGATTAAAAAAGAATCAACCCATGAATGAATAAAGGCAAATTTAGGAACAAATTGAGGTTTCTCTCCCCCTTACTCTTCCCTCCCTCTCTAAAATAAAATGGTAGATCAAGAACCAGAGGTCAAAGTATTCATATATATATATTTTTATATATTTATATATATATATATATATATATATATATATGTTGATTTTTTTACAGAGAGGAAGGGAGAGGGATAGAGAGCTAAAAACATCGATGAGAGAAACATCCATCAGCTGCCTCTTGCACACTCCGTACCGGGGATGTGCCCGCAACCACAGTACATGCCCTTGACTGGGATCGAACCTGGGACCTTTCAGTCCGCAGGCCGACGCTCTGTCCACTGAGCCAACAAAGTATTCTTAGTGATTTCTTCCATTTTATATCTTCGTGTAATATTTGGACATTTTTTTTTTCTTAGAAAATGGATGTATTACTTTTACCTACTCCCTCCACTTCTCCCCCCCAGAAAAAACACAGAAAACCAAAGAGGAAAATACACGGGAAACGGGAGAGCTTGTTCTAGGAGGAAGCTGGTGTGTTTCTCCTTTAAGCTTCATGTCAGACCTGAGCTGGGTCTGCAGTGCTGAAACTTTAAAGGTGGCAGGAAATACGGGCACTGGGAATACCAGCTGTATTGTAGGAGGGCTTCCTAGTTCTGTAAACTCCGTTTGCAGTGTTCCTTTGTACTTGCTGTTTGCTCATTTATCTCAGATTTGAGACAAAGTCTTTGCTGCATGACTCCTTATGACCTATTTTTGTTGCTTTGACATATGGCTGGGTTTCTTGTACATGCAATCTTCAAAATTCAAGCAGTTTCTCAGTATTTTATAGGAATGCAACTAATTGATGAAGGAAATAAATCTGAGGAAATACAAATTTCAGTTGACCTCTGCTGTTGTTTTACAATGGAGGTAAACACACACCACATACACACGCACACACCACACTCGCACGCACACACACACACACCACACACTCTCGCATGCGCACACTCACACTCACACACACACACAGACATTCACACAGACACACACACTCTCACACACAGACTCACACTCACACACACACACCACACAGACACACACACTCACACAGACACACACACACTCACACAGACACACACACACAGACACACACTCACACACACACACACCAAAAACCTGAAATACACACCGCATGGTAGAGAGCCAGTCCCTGCTGCTGATAGCATCCTCCTGTCCCCTGTGGAGGGGGTGTGTCATTAGGTGTTCGGATCCCACGTGGTGAGCTTTGTAAGCCGGGGAGTGGGGTTAGAGGGCCTTGGAGAGGGAATTCCACTTGTGGTGTTTTTACAAAGGGAAGCTGGGGGGGGGGCACCTGCCCTGGAGCAGCCTGCCTGACTGGGACGGAAGGACGGTGCATGGCCTTGACCTTCTCGCGTGGCCAGCATCACAGCTGAGCTTGGAGGTCCCCGAAGATACCCCGCCCCTGCCGCAGGGAAGGAAGAGCTGGGCAGGGGGCGGTGCGGGCGGTCCCGGCCTGCCCTCTGTGTGCTCTGCCCTCTGTATGTGCTCTGTCCTCCATGGTGCCTGCGGTTTCCGAGGAGCCGTCAGACAGGATGAGGACTGTGCTGTCTGTATCTGTGGGGACAGACATTTACGATACGTTACGTACGTCATAGAAGATTCATTGCTGGGGCTATTCTGTTTGAAATGCCTGAATATACTACTCTGTTGTCCTTACAGCACTCCACAGAGATATTGCCAGTGTCTGTCCATTAATAGCAATAAGTCATGTTTCTTCTTTGGTCTCACTCTGGCTGTGGGTTTTTCCCCAAGGATATACTAACCATTTACTAGGGAAAAGCATAACGTTTATGGTTGTAAGTTACAGATATAGAGCAGAGTCATAATGCCCCTTGTTCCACATTGAATTCCAAATGCAACAAAGCGCCTACTATGTGTCAGCCATTCATAGAGGATCATGACACAGTTTTGTCTGCCAGTTGGAAGAGATGCTATAGACGCCTTCTGTCTGTAACATAGGCAAACCTGTGGGCAGCCTGATGGCCCGGAAACACATACTTTCCCCAGACGTTTGCGATGGCGAGTCCTTTTGGCAGAAAGGCAGCCTTGGCAGTGTGGCTCTCGGATCCTGTGCTGCTTCAGCAGTTCTGGGGGTGCTGGCCAGGAGGTCTGCGTGACAGCCTGTCCTAGGGTGCATGGCTGTCCTTCAGCACCTGGGTGGTGCCCCCTCCTGCAGGTTACTCTCAGGTAGACCCCTGGTGGAGCACTGGTGGCAGTGATTGCTGGATTGTGGTGGTGGCCTGCCCTCATCATTCACTTCCCTCCTCGCTTATGTTAACAAGGAAACTTAGGCAGCCCCCTCTGTGTCACACGCTTTCCTAAGTGCTTTCCATATATTTAATCCTCACGTCAATTTTGTGAGGTAAATACTTTTTTGTCCCCATTTGATAGACAAGAAAACTAAGGTCAACTGACTTGTCCGGGATCACACAGCTAAGGAGAAAGGGAGGTAGGATTTGAACCTAGGTAGTCTGGCTCCAAAATCCGTGCTCGTGTTCAGTCAGCTGTGTCACGAAAGAATGAGCAGTCCTATGTGGCACCATGGAATTTGGGGCGCTCCTGATGAGAGGTGGGTAGGTCTCTCTCGGGTCTTGCCGTAGCGAGGCGGTGTAGCTGTCCTTCCCTGTAGCAGACAGCTGGCGGTGGCATAGAATAGGTCAGGAGGACCCTGTCCCCAGCTCCCCCGGTGGTCCTCTCTGTGGTGGTCACAGAGCAGTTTGCATGTGACTTACTGCCCCGTGCTTGGCTCTGCAGAGAAGGTGGGATTGGCCGCGTGCTGGGGGAGAGATGTTGAGCCTGTTCCATCCAGTACTGTGGCGCATGCTTTTGGTTTTCTGCCTTCAGTGTGAGAGTTTGATTAAGAAATGTTTATGGAAACAATTTTCAGATACCACTAATAGGAAAAAATAAGGTGGTATAATAAAACTACTTTGGATTCCAGATGTTTACAGGTGCCCGACTATTCTGATGCAAACGTGATTGCCCTGTGCATTTTAAGATATAAAAATAGTAGCATAATTTTGACTCTGGCCGTCTGTTTCTGTAGCCAGGAGCCCGAGGCCTCTGCAATATGAACAATTCCCTGGAGAACGCCATCTCCTTCGAAGAGTACATCCGCGTGAAGGCGCGCTCCGTCCCGCAGCACAGGATGAAGGAGTTTCTGGACTCGCTGGCCGCCAAGGGCCCGGAAGCCCTTCAGGAGTTCCAGCAGACCACCACGGCCATGGTGTACCAGCAGGGCGGTAGCTGCGTCTATACCGACAGCACCGAGGTGGCCGGCTCCTTGCTTGAACTTGCCTGCCCAGTCACCACCAGTGTTCAGCCACAGACCCAGCAAGAACAGCAGATCCAGGTTCAACAGTCACAGCAAGTCCAGGTAAAGGGCCATGTTGAGTGCATCCTACTTCCTAGCGCTGTTTGCCACCTGGTGTGTTTACTAAGAGGGCCACATCTCTATAGGGTCTCAGAGGTTATTTCCACCGAGAGGAATACTCTTTTTTAAGCATTTCCTTTAGTACAAAGCTTCCTAGTTCACGCAGACTAAGAATATTTGAACCAGTCGGTGACCACAGGCGCTTGCCGGTTGCTGGGGAGAGCTGGGGAGTCTGGAGATCAGAGCCTTCTGGGACTGTTTGGTGTGACGCACCGACGTGCCTGAAGCTCCCTCTGTCCTATGTCCCTGAGCGGATCGGAACAGAGCGCTGGCCCGGGCTCACTACTAAGAGCAGGACACGTAGAGCTGTGTTAAAGTGGGAAAGCTGGCACATTCTGTGACCTTCGTCTGGTGTGTGGTCCCATGGCTCGCTCACCGCAGCCTGCTGGGTCTGCATCTGCTATTGATGAGCCTCAAGACCTACTGATGCTGATGCGCAGCGAGCTTTCCGAGGAGAAGCTAATGCCCTTGCGGGTGGTGACAGCTTCCTCGTAGGTCTTCATGTGAGACAGATCTCCTGTTACCCAGGCTGCTTTCTGGTACTGAATTGTGGTTGCGTTTCATTTGCCCTGGATGCTTTTTTCCCCACCGGCAATATAGAAAAGGGAGAGGGAGAGGCCGGAGTGTGGTGAGGTGTGTCCGGTGAAATAGAAGGTAGCCCCTTTGCCTCTTGGGACTGCAAGTGGGTATATGATATGTGCAAGAGTAGTTTTTTCCTCTACTTAAAATAAAAAATTCCCACCGAAACCCGTTTGGCTCAGTGGTAGAGCATTCGATTCTGGTCAAGGGCATGTACATTGGTTGCGGGCACATCCCCAATAGGGGGTGTGCAAGAGGCAGCTGGTCGATGTTTCTCTCTCATTGACGTTTCTAGCTCTCTATCTCTCTCCCTTCCTTCTCTCTGTAAAATATCAATAAAATATATTTAAATAAATAAATAAATAAAGAATTCCCACCAGCAGTGGTGTATGAGGATTCCAGTTTTTTTTACATCCTCACCAACACTTGCTATTTCTTTCTTTTTTTTTTTCTTTCTTTTTTGTAGCCATCCTAGTGGATTTGAAGTTATATCTCGTGATTTTTATTTGCATTTCCCTGATAGCCAACAATGTTGAACAACTTTTAATGTGCTAACTAGCCATTTGCATGCCTCCTTTGGATAAATGTCTATTCAGATGCTCTCCCATTTTTATGTATGATATGAGGAAGAGGTCCAGCTTCATTCTTTTGTTCTAGCACCATCCTTGCTTATCTTTTGTGCTGCCTCCTTCTGCTGTTAAATAGATATACTCCCACATCTGCCTTTTGTTTTCCTCTTTCCTAATTTCTAGCTGTGTTTAAAGTAATTTAGACATGTGTGTCTGATGGGGAAAAAATCTTCCCTTTTTTTGAAATTTTATAAGTTTATTTGAGCTAAACTGATGACATAAGCCATAAAGGAAGATCTCAAATGCTCCCAAATCTTTTCAGTTTTTTTAATATATGTATATTTTTATTGATTTCAGAGAGAGAAAAACCTCAATGATGAGAGAGAATCATTGATCGGCTGCTTCCTGGGGATCGAGGCCACAACCCAGCCATGTGCCCTTGATTGGTATTTATTGAACCCGGGACCCTTTAGTCCTCAGGCTGACGCTCTCTTCACTGAGCTAAACTGGCTAGGGCAGTGCCTGCATTTTAGCTGCAGAGTTGGAGATATTTCCAAAAGACATTTCAAAAGTTTTGTCTCTGCTGTGTTTTCCACTAGTTGTCTGTGGTGGGAGTAGTTTGGATGCGAAGTTGGGAATTGATTGTCTGTGGAAGGAACATGTCTTCCTGACCTTTTCGATAGTGGTCCCCACACTTTCTGTCACTCGCCCCATGGATAAACTTTTTTTTTTTTTTTTAACATGTAGGTAAATATATATTTATAAATTATGTACTTGCACTAATATATCAGTAAGCAAAATCAAAGGTGGTCACATTTTAGTCCTCACCCAAGGATATTTTTCCATTGATTTTTAGAGAGAGAGAAACATAGATGTAAGAGAGATTCATTGATTGGTTGTCTCCTGCACACACCCCGATGGGCTGGAGATAGAGTCTGCAGCCAACGTATGTGCCCTTGACTGGAATCGGACCTGGGACCCTGATGCTCTATCTACTAAGCCAAACCCCTACTGAGCCAGGGCAGAGGGGTCACATTTTTATTTATTTATTTATCTATTTTTAAAATATATTTTATTGATTTTTTACAGAGAGGAAGAGAGAGGGATAGAGAGTTAGAAACATCGATGAGAGAGAATCATTGGTCAGCTGCCTCTTTTGCACACCCCTACTGGGGATGTCCCCACAACCAAGGTACATGCCCTTAACCGGAATCGAACCTGGGACTTTTCAGTTCGCAGACCGATACTCTATCCACTGAGCCAAACCGGTTTCGGCAAGGGGTCTCATTTTTAAAAAAGAGGAAAATGAACAAAAGTTATAATATTTCCTTTGTAGGCCCCGTTGATAGTCTCGTTGCTCTCATGTGGGTATACGTTGCTCTGAAGGCAGTGTGATACTGGAGAGTTTGCCAGTGGTTTTGGGGGTGGTGGCTCCTGAGAAGCCTGATCCGGCAGTTCCTCCTCTCATTGCCTAGGGCCCCCGCCTGACAGCCTTCCTCCCTGCGGGCTGGGTCTCAGCGCTGCCTCCTTCCCTCCCTGCCCTCACTGGGAATCTTGTCGCCACAGGTACAAGTGCAGGTACAGCAGTCTCCGCAGCAGGTTTCCGCCCAGCAGCTCTCCCCGCAGCTCACCGTTCACCAGCCTCCTGAGCAGCCCTTCCAGGTCCAGGTGCAGATCCAAGGCCAAGCACCGCAGCCGGCAGCTCCTTCCATCCAGACCCCGACCTTGCAGAGTCCCAGCCCCTCCCAGCTCCAGGCAGCCCAGATCCAGGTGCAGCACGTGCAGGCCGCACAGCAGATCCAAGCCACAGAGATCCCCGAGGAGCACATCCCGCACCAGCAGATCCAGGCTCAGTTGGTGGCCGGCCAGTCTCTCGCTGGGGGTCAGCAGATCCAAATCCAGACCGTGGGCGCCCTCTCCCCACCACCGTCCCAGCAGGGCTCCCCGCGGGAAGGGGAGCGGCGGGTTGGCACAGCCAGTGTTCTCCAGCCGGTGAAGAAGCGCAAAGTGGACATGCCCATCACTGTGTCCTACGCCATCTCAGGGCAGCCGGTGGCCACCGTGCTGGCCATCCCACAGGGCCAGCAGCAGAGCTACGTGTCTTTGAGGCCGGACTTACTGACAGTGGACAGTGCCCACCTGTACAGTGCCACTGGGACCATTACGAGCCCCACCGGAGAGACCTGGACCATCCCTGTGTACTCTGCCCAGCCCCGGGGCGACCCTCAGCAGCAGAGCATCACCCACATCGCCATTCCCCAGGAGGCCTACAACGCAGTCCACGTCAGCGGCTCGCCCACGGCCCTGACGGCCGTCAAGCTGGAGGACGACAAGGAGAAGATGGTGGGCACGTCGGTCGTGAAGAACTCGCATGAAGAGGTTGTGCAGACCCTGGCAAACTCTCTCTTCCCAGCACAGTTCATGAATGGCAACATCCACATTCCAGTGGCTGTGCAGGCTGTGGCGGGCACATACCAGAACACAGCTCAGACTGTCCACATATGGGACCCTCAGCAGCAGCCGCAGCCACAGACCCCCCAGGAACAGACGCCGCCGCCGCCGCCGCCTCCGCAGCAGCAGCAGCTCCAGGTGACTTGTTCAGTAAGTGAGCCTCCTCCGTGGGCAGCCTGCGCCCGCAGGACCCACCCCGACCCTCTGGTTGGTCAGGCCGGGGTGTTAGTGGTGGAGTAGTGCAGTGCTTAATATTCCCGGGGGGGCGGGGGGACACAGAGGCAGCGGGTGAAGCTGTGGAACCGGAGTTCTGCCCTGGTGGGGGAGGTAAATGAAATGGTCAGTAACTACTCTGGGGTTGCCCGGGGTGCTTCCTTGTTAAATCTCTTTGGAAGAGGAAAGTTTAAGTGGAGACAAGTGGTTCCTAGTGGTGTCCTCATCCCAGGAGCTCCTTGCTGGTCACAGAGGACGGGATCTGGAGGAGCCTCAGTAGTTTAGTACAGACTCTGAACTGGCTCTGTGGAGCGGACGTGTGAGTGTTCTTTTTTCATGGTCATCTGTGGTCACAGTGTAGGTGAATTAGATGTAAAGTGCCTCCTGGTTGGCCTACCACCTTTGGGAGCCTTGAACAAGCCATTTATGCAGTGGGGTTTCGCAAAAGTGTTTTAATGCTTCTTAAAAGTCCTGTGTAATAAAAGACTGATATGGAAATCAAATGGTGGAGTGACCAGTCACTATGATACCCACTGACCATCAGGAGGCAGATGCTCAATGCAGGAGCTGCCCCCTGGTGGTCAGTGCGCTCCCACAGGGGGAGCGCTGCTCAGCCGGAGCCAGACTCCTGGCGGAAAGCACACAGCGGTGGCAGGGCCTTCCGCCTCTGCTGCAGCGCTAAGGTTTCCAGCTGCCAGCTTAGGCCCAAGTGGCAGACAGGCATCCCCCAGGGCTCCCGAACGCAAGAGGCACAGGCTGGGCCGAGGGTCCCCCCCCACCAGGTTTTGTGCACCAGGTTTCTTAAATTTTCTTTTATGACGGCTACACTGAAATGTTTTTTAAAGTTTTTTATTTTGAAATCATTTAGATTTATATAAAAGATGCAAAAATATAATTCTGTAGAAATTTTAACTTTATAATTGTTTTTGCTCTTTTATCATTTCTAATAGTTAGCTTCTCGAGGCTATCTTTTTAAGACTATTAGTGACCTTCCCAGTCCTTGTCTGGCAGAGCTGTAGAGTGGATTTAGTCTCTGGCCTTCGGGATCTGCCGAAGACCGACTGGGTGCCTCGCAGGGCGAGGGCTCCCGGGCTGCGTGGAGGGAGCCGACACGAACAAAGTGCTGGCGGCCCTGGCACCACGCTCGGAACTTGGGCAGTAAATGGTTTTGTTAGGCAAAAGCTGACCAGGCAGCAGTTCGTGATCTTAGGTGACTTCGTTCAGGAACTATTACATAACCAGCTGCCAGCCTGGAAGTAGCACAAGACTCACTGTTTCGGTGGCTTGTAGTCCGTTGCAGGATTCAGAACACGTGATTCTGTTTCTTTGATCACATATAAGGCAGCACAATGAAGTGTGACGTGTGTGCCACACACACAAAGAAAAGCTGGACTTCAGAAAGCATCCCAGGTCACAGCCCGCAGCGGCGTCCTGTGGAAAGGGGGTGTGTCTGGTTCACAGCTCACACTGACAGGCTGGAGCCGCACAGGACGGAGTCGGGTGGGAAGAAGGGACGTGGCCTTGCAGCATGAGAGCGCCGTGGAGAGAGGATAGTACGGGGACAAAGGTGTTACCTTCACAGAGTTGAGCTGGGCCTGAGGGTTTGGGGTGGGCAGGTCTTCATGTTCCAGGAGTGTGATTAGAAGAAGAATCAGCCAGGTGGTGTGCTCAGTGGTTGAGCGTCAACCTATGAACCAGGAGGTCACAGTTCAATTCCCGATCAGGGCGCATGCCCAGGTTGTGGGCTCCATCCCCTGAGGGGAGCCTACAGGAGGCAGCCAGTCAGTGGTTCTCTCTCATCATTCTCCCTTTCTCTCTGAAATCAATAAAAAATTATTTAAAAATAATAGTTTGCACATTCGGGCCCTTCAGCAGATCTTTCCGGGAGCTCAGTTAGGGCCCGTGCTCCTGGGCGCCAGGTCTCCTCCGGGGAGGCTCCTGGGCCCATCAGCATTAGTGCCAGAAAAGAAGCGTTGGGAGAAGGCCTCCCGCAGGAAGGGGCAGTTTGTCCCGTGCCCCACAGACACCAGGCCTGGGCTAAGGAGCAGTGACAAGACCGTCTGCGCGGGCGCCCACAGCCGGGGGAGGGCATTGCGCCGCGGAGGGAGCCGGCCTCTACGGAGAGGCTGTGCTCCTCCCCCTGCCGTCCCTTTAGGGAAACTTACCGTGTTTGTGGCAGCACCTCCCTCCCCGACCCCTCAGCCCCCTCCTCCGTTTGCCGTACTTCGCTCTGCGTTCTTCCCAGAATCCTCCAAGGGATTCTCCGTCCGAGCTGATGTCCTTGCTAGCCACTTTCATCTCACCGGCAGCATGCTCCTGTCAGGCAAGGCCCTCAGGCCAGACGCAGCAGGCCCGTCTGTTTTAATCTTAGCACACACCACAGCTCCTGGGCTCTGCTGGCTGCATCCGCACCTCCCAGTGTCTTCCTGGCCGGGCTCCTGTGCCTGCTCCTTTAGCCAAACCAGCATGCCGGTGTCCTCAGAGAGCAGCACCAGCCCTTTGTTCTTCCTCAGAAGCTTCTGTCCTTTGGTGTGGTTTTCACACCAGTCAGATCAGGGTGGGGAACGTGGCCTCAGGGCCATATCACTTGGTTGGGCCCTGCCAAGGCAGCCACAGACAGAACTTGAGATTCAAGAGACCGAGGAGCTTTTTTCATAGCAACATAATTCTAAGTGGTAACGCTGTATAATGACGTTATAAACACGTGGTGCCCTGGGCACGAAAGGTTCCCAGCCTGCTGGCTGATGCCCTGCTAGAGATGGTCACCGGCACTGCCGCATTGCTCTTCGGTTTCATGGAACGCCTTTAATTCTCCCGCCGGCCTGTGAGCTAGATGCACTGTCTCCGTTTTCCAAACGGGGAAGCAGGCAGAGCTTCCGAAGGCCGCCATTGGGAAGCAGCAGAGGTGGGGTTGAATCCCGGACAGGCAGGCACCGCAGTCCGCGGCCTGTGCTGCATTGCGCACGTCTTAGAATCTCTGGACTATGCCTTCCCGTTAGCGCTCTCCCCACACAGTCAGCAGCTACTTACTCACTTGGATTTCAGAAGATCTCTCAGCTCTTCGTTAGCATCAGCTCGGCTGCCATCGACAGCGCCCCAGTCCTAGAAAGGGCAGCGTTGGCCAATCACCCATTGTGTGAGCCAGAAACAGGAGTCACCCTGAGTCTGCTCTCCCTCCCTCCTCACAGCAAGCTCATCAGTAGGCCACATTGGCTCTCACTCTGCCTCCCAGACTCCCTCAGTCATTGCCACTGCCACCATCTGAGTCCAGGCGACCAACACCTGCCTCCACTTTTGCTCTTCATTTTGTTCCCATAGATCACCATGAATAATTTTTTTTGTTTTTTGTTAATCCTCACCCCGGGATATTTTTTCCATTGATTTTTAGGGAGAGTAGGAGAGGGAGGAAGAAGGGAGGGAGACAGACAGACAGACGGACATCCATGTGCTCTATCTGGTTTGGCTCAAAGGATAGAGCATCAGCCTGCGGACTGAAGGGTCCCAGGTTTGATTCTAGTCGAGGACACAGGCCCAAGTTGCAGCTCCACCCCAGTAGGGGGGCGTGCAGGAGGCAGCCAGTCAATGATTTCCTCTCATCATTGATGTTTCTATCTCTCCCTCTCCCTTCCTCTCTGAAATCATAAAAATATATTTTTGTAAAAAAAGAAACGTCAATGTGAAAGAGACACATCAATTCGTTGCCTCACACACACACACACCCCGTCCGGGGCTGGAGATGGAGCCTGCACCCAGGTATGTGCCCTTTGGGAATCGAACTTGTGGCCCTTCGTTGTGGAGGCCGGAGTGGTCTAACCATTTAAAGACACAGGCCAGAGCTAATTCTTTTAAAAATATATTTTATTGATATTTTACAGAGAGGAAGAGAGAGGGATAGAGAGTTAGAAACATCGATGAGAGAGAATCTCCGACCAGCTGCCTCCTGCACACCCCCTACCAGGGATGTGCCCGTAACCAAGGTACATGCCCTTGACCGGAATGGAACCCGGGACCTTTCAGTCCACAGGCCGACGCTCTATCCACTGAGCCAAACCGGTCTCAGCTAATTTTTTTTTTAATCCTTGCTCTAGGTATGCTCATTGATTTTAGAGAGGGGCACAAGGAAGAGGGAGAGAGAAAAGAACATCAATTGGTTGCCTTCCATACATGCCCCGACGAGATCAAATCCGCAACCTAGGTATGTGCCCTGACTGGGAATCGAGCTCACCTTTTAGTATATGGGAATGTGCTCCACCAACAGCCATACTGGCCAGGGCAAGAATGATTGTTTTTCTGTAAGATTATGTCACATCCCAGCTTTACACTCTCCGAGGGGCTCCTTTATCAGCAGGAAAAGCCCTCTTCACTGTGGGCACTGGGCACAGTGAAGTGTGGGGGAACTTGGGAACGTCACTGTAGTGGTAGGAGGCACACAAAGGAGGGCCTCGCCAAGAAACCACAGAGAAGCTGTGCTCCGCCTGCTTGCCAGTCAGTTCCTAGATTTCCAGCTGGAGGAGATGGTGTAGCCATTGAACGGGAAGGCGGGGGGGGGGGGGGGGGGTGCGCCTCTGAGGAGAGCAGTGTGGGTGGAGAGGGGGTGGTTGTCTCCGGAGAGGTCAGTGTGAGGGTGCAGGGAGGTGTCCATTGGAGATGCACATCCCCCGGCGTGTTACGGGGTCTCCTTAGAGGTACATGGCTGCGAGTGCTGTTAGCAGTCACTGCCCCAAACGTGGGCGCCTGCCTGTGCGGACCGTGAGGCTCACCAAGGAGGATGCAGCTGAGCTAAGCAGGGGTCAGAGTGGGAGCTCGGGGTTGGCAGGCATGCCAGGGCCTGGCACTGGTGTTGCTTTATCTCCTTAATGATGTGTATTATCAGAGCTAGTACGGTCGTTTTTATTTGATGATAGCAGATCTATGTGTCACGGATAAAGGATTTTGCTTTTGCTTGGAATGGCCTGACAATTCCTCAGGAGACTTGCTCAAGGAAGTCTGTTCAGAGTGTGGATAGGGGCGTGAGTCCCAGAGCCTGTGCAGGGGCTGTCCTGCTGCTGGGACTGTGGTTCAGATCCCGGATGTTCTCTGCCCGCTGGTCTGCAGCTTGGCTCTCAGCCCACTGAGGACGGGCACGCCCTCCCTGTGGAGGCAGGGAGCTGGGGACAGAGCCTCCTGGGCAGCTGGAGAAGGCTTACCCTCCTTACTGGCAACGGAGGGACAGGACGCGGCTTGGTGTCCTTTCTGTTCTCTGAATGCTGGTTCCTCACCGGGGCTGGGCATTGAATCACCTGGGAGTTTTGAAATACTGATAGCAGCAGGCCCTCAACTTAGACAAATTAAATCAGAATCTTTGGGGATTAAGACTTGGGCGTGTGAGCCACTGCTCTGGAGACGTGGTACTCAAAGTGGGTCAGCAGCCAGTTTCCGCACTTGGAAGCTGCTTAGAAATGCAGTCCTGGCCGGTGTCACTTAGTGGTTGGAACATCATGTCATAAACCAAAAGGTGACAGGTTCGATTCCCAGTCAGGGCACATGCCCAAGTTTCTAGTTCGATCCCCAGTTAGGGTGCATGCAGGAGGCAACCAGTTGTTTCTCTTTCCCTCTAAAATCAATAAAAACATCTAAAAAAAAAAAGAAGAAGAAGAAGAAGTATAGCCAGGGCGGAGAATCACAACACTAGGTTTTGCTATTCCTAGGGTAAGGAGTAGAATTTCAAAGATTCTTGAACATAGGACAGCATGGAGAAGAGAATTTTTTATTGAAAGAACTACAACTAACATTTTCCTGGCAGTTTGCTGAACCAAGGGCCTGGTGCAAAGGAGTGTTGATGCATTCTGATGGTTTCTCTCTCCTAGGCTCAAACTGTTCAGGTTGCTGAAGTTGAACCACAGTCACAGCCACAGCCTTCCCCAGAACTTCTGCTTCCAAATTCTCTGAAGCCAGAAGAAGGGCTGGAAGTATGGAAAAACTGGGCCCAGACCAAGAACGCTGAGCTAGAGAAGGATGCTCAGAACAGACTGGCGCCCATCGGGAGTGAGTGTTCGGCGGGACGGGGCGGACTCTGTAAAATGCAGTGGCACTGAAGCAGAGGAGGGGAGGGTGGCAGGAAGGGTGTCCCTTGGCTCGGGACCGGGAAGCTCCATCGGAAGTGGTATGCTGAATTCAAAACAAGCAGCACGCAGGCCTGAGCAAGGTTTGCGGGGTTTGTGCAGAATGAGGCATTTCTGTGTACATGGGTCTGGGGTTGACCTACTGTGTCTGATGGTCTGATCTGGCAGAGCAGTTTCTGGGAGAGGACAGAAACCAGCGAGTGTGTTCAAAGCCCTCTCCTGGGCATCACGCTATACACCACCTACATTATGCGGGGTGGGGCGGACCGGGGTGGGGGGGGGTCTTTCTTTCCGTAGCCCTAATGAAAGTTTCCAGGAGCTGTGAAGCGGGAGCACTGTGGGAAGGAAACCCTGGTGTGATAGGACATAGAGGTTGCGCCTTAGCAGGCTGGATGCAAGTAACCATTCCCACACCAGCACTGATGGGGCCGTGATTGCTCTGCGCTGACTTCAGGGGTGTGAGCAGCCAGTCCAGATGCCTGTGGCCAGGACTCCCGCTCACCTTTGGGGTTTGTGTCGTAGGGCGCCAGCTTCTGCGATTCCAGGAAGATCTCATCTCCTCTGCGGTGGCCGAGCTGAACTACGGGCTCTGCCTGATGACACGGGAAGCGCGGAATGGCGAAGGGGAGCCCTATGACCCTGACGTGCTCTACTACATCTTCCTGTGCATACAGAAGGTGGGCGCCTCCCGGCACGCCTCAGCTTGTTCCATCACCTTCTTACGGTGTTCACACCAGTGAAATGACAAGCACGGAGGTTTAATTAGGACTTTCTGTTCTAACTGTACAATGAGTTTATGTTCTTTTTTCCATTGCAAAAGATGTGCATGTTCACTTTAGAAAATAAGCATCATATTAACCCTGCCTGCAGCGAGAGAAGCTCGGGGGAAAGGTTTTGTGTGTTGGCTCTCCCTCCAGGGAGCGAGCCTTTCCCTCCCCTCCCCGTCCCTCCAGCCCCAGCTCCCACGCTCTTCATTTATCTCCAGAACTTATTTGCTAAGCCCTTCTGGGAATCACTTCTACCACCTCTAACTCACCTAATAAATGTTCTCTTACCAAATAAATATATATATACATTTTATTATATTATCCTATCAAAGAGGAAATATGCTAATTGACTTCCACACCCTCAAAGATGGTGGTGCCCAGTCCCCTCAGCCCCACCGGGGCAGCAGGCACATGGCAAGGCTGGGCCCGCCCCCAGGGTCTCCGGAGTCCTCCAGTCCCGTCACCTGTCCAGCCGCCCAGTGCTGCCCGAGATGCAGCTAACCAGGGCCGGCCAAGGCTTGTGCTGCCAGCAGTGGCAGCAACAGAAGTTTGATGAGGGTGTCTCCTTCCCCTTATCACCAGGTCACCTCTCGCCCCTGAGAGCTTCTGGACTGTGAGAGGGGGCAGGCTGGACTGAGGGACCCCCCTCCAATACATAAATTTTCATGCACCAGGCCTCTAGTATTTTTAAAATATATATATTTTATTGATTTTTTACAGAGAGAGGGATAGAGTTAGAAACATTGATGAGAGAGAAACATCAATCAGCTGCCTCTTGCACATCCCTCACTGGGACCTTTCAGTCCGCAGGCCGATGCTCTATCCATTGAGCCAAACTGGTTTTGGCAGGCCTCTAGTATTATATTTATTATATAGAAACAAACAGCCTAGCTGGTGTTGCTCAGTGGTTGAGAGTTGACCTATGAATCAGGAGATCATGGTTTGATTCTGGTATGTAGGGTTATTAAGGGGAATGGGTAGGCACAGGCAATAGTACCCTGCAAGTCTTACTCAGGAGACTATAAACAATTTTTGTTGATTGTTTTTCTTTTAGTATCTCTTTGAAAACGGACGGGTGGATGACATTTTCTCAGATCTTTATTACGTTCGATTCACGGAGTGGCTGCATGAAGTTCTGAAGGACGTTCAGCCCCGAGTCACTCCACTGGGTAAGAGTCTTACTAGCACTCAGATGTCTTTCCTACCGGGTTTCAGAAGGACCGGCTGCTTGTGTGGTGCCTGGCTCCGTACAGCACGTAGGTGAGGACTGTAAACCCAGGGGCACTGCTCACCAGCCGCAGGACCAGCTGGCCCCAGTATGGCGAGAACAGGATCATGTGGAGGGTGGGGTAGCTCCTCTTTTTTTTTTTTTTTTTTTCCCTATTAAAATTAGAACCATTGCAGAAAATAAGAATTATTACTGTTTTATCTGTAGGTTATTCATCTTACATATGTTTTGTGTGTACAAAGTGGGGTCAAAGTAGGTTTACACTTGTTTGTATGGAAAATAATTTAATAATAAATAATAATATAAGAAAAGACTGTTTTGAGTACTCAGAACTATAAACCTACTTTGCTCCACCCTGTATAGAACATAATTTTTGCTTTATCTACAGGTAACTACCTGGGTAGTATGTTATATTGGAAAGAACATGAGCTTTGCAGTAGAATGTCTGAGGTTTTTTTTATTTAAGAAACCTTATTTTTATTTATTTATTTATTTTTTATTTATTTATTTTTTTTGTTAATCCTTACCCGAGGATGTTTTTCCATTGATTTTTTAGTGAGAATGGAAGGGAGAGGGAGAAATATATATAGAGAGAAACATCAACGTGAGAGAGACACATGGATTGGTTGCCTCCATCATGGGCTCGACCAGGGTCAGTAATCAAGCCTGCAGCCGAGGGACGTGCCCTTGACTAGAATCGAATCCGGGACCCTTCAGTCCATGGGCTGACACTCTACCCATTGAGCCAAACCAGCTCGGGCTAATAAACTTTATTTTTTAGAGCAGTTTTAGGTTTACAGAAAAATTAAGCAGGAAGTACAGAGAATTTCTATATACCCCCACACAGTGTTTTCCCAATTATTATTTTGTATTAGTGTGGTATACTTGTTACTATTGATGAACCAGTATTGATACATTATTAATTAAATGCCTGTAGTTTACATTAGGGTTCACTCCTTGTGTTATACATATTGTGGATTTTGACAAATGTATAATGACATGTGTCTGCAGTTACTATATCACACAGAAGTTTCACTACTTTAAAATCCCCTATGTTTCGCCAAAGCCGGTTTGGCTCAGTGGTAGAGCGTCGGTCTGCGGACTCAAAGGTCCCGGGTTCGATTCCGGTCAAGGGCATGTACGTTGGTTGCGGGCACATCCCCAGTGGGGGATGTGCAGGAGGCAGCTGGTCGATGTTTCTCTCTCATCGACGTTTCTAGCTCTCTATCTCTCTTCCTTTCTCTCTGTTAAAAATCAATAAAATATATTTTAAAAATAAATAAATAAATAAAATCCCCTATGTTTCACCTAGTTATCCCTTCCTGCCTCCCCTAGAATTTCTGGAAACCAGTAATCTTTTTACTATCTCCATAGTTTTTGCCTTTTTCAGAATATCATATAATTGGAATAATTTATTTTGTGGCCTTTTCAGATTTTTGTTTTGTTTTGCTTTGTTTTCACTTAGCAATACACATTAATGTCCCATTGTGTCTTTGCGGCCTGATAGCTCATTTTTTATTGCTGACAATATTCCATTGTATGGATATACCACAGTTTGTTTATCCACTCACCTTGGAATAGCTTCCAGTTTTGGCAGTTCTGAATGAAGTGCTATAAATATTTTGTGCAGGCTTTTGATGAGAGAATAGGCAGATAAATGAAACGGAACAGAGAGCCCAGAAATAGAGCCACAAAAATATAACCAACTTACCTTTGTCAAAGGAACAAAGGGAGTTCAATGAAAAAAGGATAGTCTTTTCAATGGGCTCTAGAACTGGACATCCACTTGCAAAAAATCAGTCTACACATAGATCTTACACTGTTCACAAAACTAACTTCAGACGGCCGAAATGGTTTGGCTCAGTGGATAGAGCATCAGCCTATGGACTGAAAGGTTCCAGGTTCGATTCCGGTCAGGGGCATGTACCTTGGTTGCAGATGGCATCCCTGGTGGGGTGTGTGCAAGAGGCAGCTGATCGATGATTCTCTCTCATCGATGTTTCTGACTCTATCCCTCTCTCTTCCTCTCTGTAAAAAATCAATAAAATATATTTTAAAAAGAAAAAGAAAAAAAAAGAAATAAAGAAAACAAACAACCTGATTAACAAATGGGCAAAAGATCTGAACAGATGCCTCACTAGAGAAGATACACAGGCGGTAGACAAATACAAGAAAAGATGCTTATCACATGTCACCAGGAAATTGCAATTTAAAATAACGAGAAGCCGCTATCCACTGTGACAGTGTTTCCCAAAGTGTGGTACGTGTACCCCCAGAGATACGGGAAGAGTGTGGTGGGGGTACGCGTTGCACTGGAGTTTGGTGGGGATATGCACTGCACCGTGCTTAGCTGCGCTTAATTCTACTTTCTCATGAGTACAAAGGGTACTCAGCGTTACAAAAATTATAGAAGGGGTGCATCAGATGCTAGCCAGGGAGCAACAAGAGCTTCACCTAATACAAAAAAAGGAGACATATGTACTACTACTTGTAATACATTAAACAATAAAATAAAAATTAAAATTATATATATATATATATATATATATATATATATATATTTTTTTTTTTTTTTTTTTTTTTTTTTTTTTTTTAAAGGGCCTCATCCACTGCTTGTGGGAATGCAGAGTGGTACAGCCACTTTGGAAGACAATTTGACATTTTCATAAAAAAAGTAAACATTTCTTACCTTATGATCCAGTCGTCATGCTCCTTGGGATTTGCGTTGAAAACAATCTGGTTAACATCAATCATCCCTCATAGTTTGTTACGTGCTTAACCTTAAAAAAATTATTGGTTATGGGAAATATTTTTGAGTGCCTACTGTGTGCCAGACAGTTTTCAGTTATCCTATATAATAACTGGACGACCAGACACTTAGCGTATTAGGCTTTTATTTAAGGTGACCAGATCATCCCGCTTTTGGCAGGATAGTCCTGATTTCTAACAACTTTTCCCTGTGTCCTGTGGCATTTCTGGCAGGACAATCTGGTCACCTTAAATAAAAGCCTAATATGCTAAGTGTCTGGTCATCCAGTTGGCCATTTGACGAATCAAAGCCTAATATACTAATGATATGCTAAGGCTGCTCAACCACTTGCTATGATGTGCACTGACCACCAGGGGGCAGACAGTTGACTGTTTTGCCTGTAGCTATGATGTGCATTGACCACTAAGGGGCAGACGCTCCAACCAATAGGTTAGTTTGCTGCTGGAGTCCAGCAGTTCACGACTGGGCTAGATTGGCCAGACACACCCTGGAGCCCTCCTGCAATCCCTCCCAACTGGCAACCTCCTATGTTCCTCCCCAGCCCTGATCGATCGTGGGGTCCCTCAACCTGGCCTGCACCCTCTCACAATCCAGGACAACTCGGCGGATGTCGAAGCGCCGATTTTAGCATGATAGCAGAGTGACCAGTCACTATGACATGCACTGACCAGGGGGGCAGATGCTCAATGCAGGAGCTGCCCCTGGTGGTCAGTGCATTCCCACGGGGAGTGCCACTCAGCCAGAAGACAAGCTCATGGTTGGCGAGTGCAGTGGCGGTGCCTCTCCATCTCCACGGCAGCGCTAAGGATGTCCAACTGACGGCTTAGGCCAGCTCATGAGGAGCAGGCCTAAGCCGTCAGTCAGACACCCCCCAAGGGCTTCCAGAATGCGAGAGTGCCCAGGCTGGGCTGAGGCATGCCCCCGAGTCCGTGTATTTCATGCACTGATTCTAGTATAGATATAATATTGTAGTCTAACAGCGAGCGAGAGAGTAAGTCACCCGATTACTGGTGATGAAGTAAGTGCTTTGAAGAACAAGCACCAGGGAGTGGAAGTGTTGGGGCACTAGGAGGGAGGCCTCTGCCGTTAGAACAGATACCGGTAAGCGGATCGGTGACTCACACTACATGATTTGCAAATTTTTAAGGCAAGTGTAGCTGTGTACCATTTGCTCCTTAAGACTTTTTGTTGTGGCATTTTAAGCACATATGAAAGTAACCGAGATTCGTGGCACTCCCATGTACCTAGTGTTTATTCATGGTAAATCTCATTTTATATATACACTACTTACTCCCCTTCCCATATTATTTTGAAGTAAGTTCCAGACACTTTATTCATAAATATTTTAATATGTATTATTGATATACCACAATGCCGTTATCATACCTTTAAAAAAAAAATTCCGTGATGTCATCAAAATCTACCCTCTGAATTTCTAATGTCATAATTTTGTTTAAGTCAAGGTGTAAAGTCCACACATTGAAACTGCTGGGAATACCTTTCAGTGGTTAGCTTAAATCTTTCATTTCTCCCTTGTTTTTTCCTTGCAATTTATGGAAGAAATTGGCCTATTAAATTGTCACACCGTTTACTTTTTGCTAGTTACATCCCCATGGTGTAGTTTGACTTATACTTCTGTTCCCTGTATTTACAGTTAATACAGTTGCATATAAAGACTCAAATGATCAGGGCTTATTTTTGTGTGTATTGTTTTCTTTTTGGCAAGGTTACATCCTAGATGGGTTATTTATTTTCATCAGATGCCCTTAATGTCTGTGTCCATTAATCATTAGTTGCAAAAGATGGTATTGTAATGTTCTTCTTCATTACTAGCTGTAAAACAGAAACTTTCCCGTGCGAACCTTGTCAGTTGCTGGCGCTGTGAATTGTGCAGAAGAGGGAGGATAGGGCTTTTGTTCTCCTGTGTCAGCGGTTTTCCCAGGCATGACTCGGCTCCCCAGCTCCCCTCAGTGATAGCCAAGTAACTGTAGTTTTTGTTTGTTTTTAAGAGTCATCACGAACTAATGAATGTAAGCATATTTAATAAGTTCACCTTTCCCCAGTTGTCATCTTTACTGATTGTCCCATCTGTGATCAGTGGGGTCCCGTTAAAGTGTCCCTTAAGTCCCTCTGGCACAGCTGGTCGCCGGTATGCTTCAGGCTCATCCGGACATTTGCTGTCCCGGTGGCATCAGTGTGTTCTCCGCGGGTCCTGATGTTTCCGTGGGAAGTGGCAGTTCAGTACCAAACAAAGACCTGGGGATTAGGTGTGTCATTGCTCATGGCTTGTCATTCTTTCTAGATCTTTAAGGTGGGCAGAACCAAAATACAAAAGACAAAATCAGTCCTTTTGATCCTTGGAGTTCAGGATCAGAGCTCTGAGGCTTTTCTGTGATGGCTCTGCCTCTGTCCCCCTTCTCCCACGCCAGAACTTTTCCTAAGGCTCAGGCGGCATGCTGCTAAAGAAGCAGTTAAAGCTGGCACAGGGAACCCCAAGAAAATAGGGCATGCCAGTGTGCTGAGACCACTCCGGGCTGGCCTTCTCCGGACCACTGTCCTGCTCCAGACACGTCTCAGAGCAGGGAGCTGAGCTCTTGTCACCAGACCACAAAGACAAGAGCAGAGGCCGAGCCTGCAGACATGGACGTGTGCTGGTGGAGTCCGAGGCAGCGGTGGAGAGCAGAGGAGAGTGCGCTGGCCAGAATGTTTCCTCCCCTGCGTCTGTGTCTGCGACATGGCTCCGGCCCACAGTCACACACCCTGACCGCGGAATGAACTCGAGGGGGCTTGGTGCTCAGACTCCTGGCCTTGGTCCCCAGCTCTTAGAGGGAACCTGCCCTGAACGCGTCTCCCCTTTGCCTGGCGAGGGGTGCCAATGGCTTGCTTTCTAAAGAAGGGTCAGCCGGGGCAGCAGGCACACATACCTGTGCGGTGGGCCCGGGCACATTAGAAATTAGGATGGAGGCTCTGCCCTCTTCCCGGAGAAGCCGCATGTGCAGAGTTCGGGTCATAGTTCGGGGCGTTTCACTTTTCCTGAGGCCCGTCTTTTTGTCTCGTGTTGACTTGGGTGAAGAAGAATTAACGTCCAGTGAGAGCACGCGTGTAGAGGGCCGTGGTCTCAGGAAATGTTAGAAATTGGTGTTGGGACCAAACCATTTGTCTTTTAACAAGCTTCCTGGTGACTGCCTTCCCAGGAAGGCCCTCCTGTGTCAGCTCCCCCTGTGTCCTGTGTGGTCCGCACCCCACCTTCTCCCCGTGCTGCCTGCCACTCTCAGTAGCTAGCAGCCCTCTATTCCTCCTAGGCTACGTGCTGCCCAGCCACGTGACCGAGGAGATGCTGTGGGAGTGCAAGCAGCTCGGGGCTCACTCCCCTTCCACCCTGCTGACCACCCTCATGTTCTTTAACACCAAGTAAGTGTTCTGGAGGCTCCGTGCTTAGCCCCTGCCGGCTGCTGCCCCGCGAAGAGGGTGGAAACTCTCCAGGCCGACTCAATTCTTCTGACACATATCTGAGAGCCTGTGGGCACTGAAAGCAGGCAGCCTCCCAGACCCCACCACCATCCTACTGTGGCTTCTCCACGGGACAGTGGGTGTGGGCGTGGGCGTGGGCCTGCCCTGTCCTGGGGGGTGGGCACGGCTCTTGTAAAGCACTGACCACAGAGGGTAAGTCATGGTCTCCTCCCGGTACCTCCCCTCTGCCTGCTCTCGCTTGCGGTGCAGGTACTTCCTGTTGAAGACCGTGGACCAGCACATGAAGCTGGCCTTCTCCAAGGTCTTGCGACAGACCAAGAAGAACCCCTCCAACCCCAAGGACAAAAGCACGAGCATTCGGTACCTGAAGGCCCTCGGGATACACCAGACCGGCCAGAAAGGTAGGGGAGGCGGCGGGGCCTGCGGAACAGGGCTTCGGTCCAGCAAGCTCTGTGCCCAGGGGCTAGCCATGCATTGGGCTGGGATTTGCTGGGTAGCAGTTCTCCATTCCTCTCTCCTCAGCCAGACATCCGACTCTTAAAGAAGCAGGGACCCAGAAAAGATAGTCATCTCTCCCTTCCATAGTCCCCACCCATTCCCACACCCTTTCTCCTTCCAATGTGTCCTAGTTGGGCTGCTGGGCCTGAGCTACAGTAGTCTGATGCCATGTCTGTGGTTGGTGTGTTTTGTAGTTACTGATGACATGTATGCAGAACAGACGGAAAATCCAGAGAATCCACTGAGATGTCCCATCAAGCTGTACGATTTCTACCTCTTTAAATGGTGAGGGCCTTTTACTGTAAGCGGGTGTCTGTGTGGTGCGCTGTGAGCAGAGGCAGAGGCAGAGGCATTCTCTAGGCCCCGCTGAGAGCAGACATGCTGCTGTTCCCAGAGCATGTGAGGCGCGGAGCTGGGGTGATAGAAGGGTCGCTGCTCCCTGGTGGCCCTTCCTGGAGGTGATGAAGGTGGAGGGAGGCGGGCGCAGAGAGGCTGCCTCCATCGCATGGGGAGCGACTTCTGGGGAGCTTGACTTTTTTTTTTTTTTTTTTTTTTTTTAATATATTTTATTGATTTTTTACAGAGAGGAAGAGAGAGGGATAGAGAGTTAGAAACATCGATGAGAGAGAATCATCGATCAGCTGCCTCTTACATACCCTCCACTGGGGGTGCGCCCGCAACCGAGGTACATGCCCCTGACCGGAATCAAACCTGGGACCTCTCAGTCCACAGGCCGACGCTCTGACCATTGAGCCACACCGGTTTCTGCAGGCTTGACCTTTTGTCTTCCGTCATCATCTGGGGGGCTTCCGGAGAGATGGCTTTGGTTCTCTGCTGTGGCTCACAGCGCTGCCAGAATGATCTTTGGACATGGAAGGTCTCAGTGGCTTCCAGTGCTCTACGACAGGGATCGAATGTGGCCAAGCAGGCCTCGCACCCGCCCCGTGCTGACCTCACATCCAGGCAGCTCTGGCTCTAGCTGCCCCGGCTCCTCTCCTCCTGTGGTGCTCGTACTTTCCTGTGTCCAGGCCTCGGCCCAGGCTTGTTTCCTGTTGGGCAGCGTCCCGCCCCCCACCCCACCCATTAGCAGTCAGCTCCTGCCAGGCTCTCCAGCTGCTTATCTTATCGGAAGCGTTTCACACCCTGCCTGTCCCATCAGCTGTTTTATCTGCCGCAGTGCTTGCCCTCTGGGTGCCTGTGAGTGTAACTCCTGTGCCTCCCCTTCTCTGGGAGCTCCTCAGGGAGGCTGTGGTCTCACATTTCCCTGCCGGCAGCACCTACTGCAGGGCTGGACAGGAGCCTGTGGTGACCCTGAGTGGATGGAGGATAATGAGAGGGGATGGTGTGTGCTGCGTGCTTGATTGAGAGGCACAGCACAGCATTGGGGTCGGGGAGCCCAGGTTAGGTTCCTCGGTCAGAACAGGACTTCTCAGTGGATTGGGTAAAGGGAGCAACTTGAGCCAAGACTTGGAAGACAGGCCTCCTGGGCAGTAAAGCCTGTTCCAAGTCGGACATGATTGGACTCGAGTAGGTGAGCCGGGAGCCCCAGGCAGCTGTTTGATCGGCCGAATCAGCTGGCACCTGAGGGCGGCGGAGCAGGAGGCAGCTGGCCCTGCCGCCTGAGCCAGTGTGCGGCCGGGCCACCATCCCTGCCAGAGCTGCTGCCTTCCCAGCTTCGCACATGTCTGATGGGAGTTTCAGGTGGGAGGGCTGAGATTGTGGTTTTCACAGCCTTTACTGACCTATTCTTCAGTCCCCAGAGTGTGAAAGGCCGGAATGACACCTTTTACCTGACACCTGAGCCAGTGGTGGCCCCCAACAGCCCAATCTGGTACTCGGTTCAGCCAATCAGCAGAGAGCAGATGGGACAGATGCTGACTCGGATCCTGGTGATACGAGAAATTCAGGAGGCCATTGCAGTGGCCAACACAAGCACCATGCACTGAGCCCCTTAGCCACGGTGCTGGGGAGAGCATCCGGGAAGAAACGGACAGACTTCCACACGAAAGAAGAGGCCTCCATTTTCTTTCTTTTTTATTGGTGTAGTTATGAAGCCTTTCCGACTGCTGTTTAAAATGTAAGGAAACTGCCCCTGTGCATCTTCATAAGCCTGCTGCACAGACGCTCAGCCGGGGCTCCGGCTCCTACGACGCTGCCGGCTGCTTTGCTTTCGCCGGGCCTGGGGCAAGGGCTTGGACTGTTTGGAGAAAGGTGGCCCTTCCCCTCCTCCGGAGAGATGGGACTCATGCGGGTGGACCTGCAGGGACTCCCCCAGTTGGCTTCACCCTGCCTGCGACTTCGCTGGCCACAGGGGACCGGTCTTTTCTTTCATGCTGACATAAACTTAGCATCTTACCGGAAGGAGAATGAGGGGAACTTCAATTATGATTTATTAAAGACAATTTCTATTACACCCTCCTTTATGACAAGTGACATTTTAGATGTTAAAGTAAACTCTACCATGCCCTTTTTTTTTGGCCCAACATTGAGGCCTTAAACCTGAGGCTGCTGTGCCTGATGGAATTCTTGTAACATACACTGTGTATCATATAAAGATACCACTCTGTTTCTCTTATGTATTCGTAATCTAGTTGTTTATTAAGAATGACAAGCACGTCTTTTCAACTCGCCGGTGCACAATGCCTCTTTATTTGGGCGGAGACCGACCGAGCCCCGAGAGCCACGCCTCCCGAGCTGGTCGCGGGGCGGGCGCTGCGGGCGGGGCGTCGGCGCCGCGGGCCAATTGCCGAGCTCTGGTTTGTGCTGTGCGCATGCGCTGCCTCGCCCAGGGGCGTGTCGGCTCCGCCCGTACGTTGCGTCCTGACGTCATCGGAACGCGCTGACGACACCCGCGGGCGTATATTGGCGCGGCCCGGACGCCGGCGGCCTCTGCGGCGTGGTGCTCGGAGACGCGCCGTCCCGCTGGTCATGGCCGACTACCTGATTAGCGGGGGCACGTCCTACGTGCCTGACGACGGGCTCACGGCACAGCAGCTCTTCAACTGCGGCGACGGCCTCACCTACAAGTGCGGGCCCGGGCTCACCGGGCGGGGCGGGTTGGGCCGCCATGGAGCCGCTGGGGTGGGGGCGCCGGTTCCGGAAACCCCACCGAGATCTCGGGCTCACGGTGACGGACCAAGCGGGGGGGATGAAGGCGGCCCCTGGCGGTGCTTGGGGTTTCAGGCGGGGGGCGCCATTCTCTGGGCACATGGCGTTGTCAGGGTGCCAGGCGCAGGTGACAGCCAGTGGCAGAGCAGGTCCCGGCCCTGGCTCCCCTCGGGCTCAGCCTGGCCTGGGTGCCCTCTGCCCACATGCCCGTGGGATGGTCTCCGGCTGCGCTAAGCCTGAGCCTTACCCCAATTCGCTCCCCGCCCTCCTAGTGACTTTCTCATTCTCCCTGGATACATCGACTTCACTGCAGACCAGGTGGTGAGTATGGCAGGACCTGGGTCCTCAGCATTAAGACTGGTGGTGGTGGGGGGGGTGCTGCTGCTGCTGAACCTCGGTCTGCCTCCCCAGATTGGGCTTCGGGGGTTCTGTGGAGTGGGTTAGCATGCAGGCCGTTCGGGGCTCCTGTTTTGTGGGAGACATGGCACCATCATGGTGCCTGTGGGCTGTGTTCTCACATTAGCTGGCCTTGTGTCCTCAGGACCTGACCTCTGCTCTGACCAAAAAGATCACTCTGAAAACGCCCCTGGTGTCCTCACCCATGGACACGGTCACAGAAGCTGGCATGGCCATAGCAATGGCGGTGAGCACCCTGGGTGGAAGGGCAGGAGCAGACCAGGTCTCTTCCCCAAAGGCAGTCATGCTTCTCTTTTTCTTGTCAATTTTCCCTTCGTTTTGTTTTTCTGCAGCTTACAGGTGGTATTGGCTTCATCCACCACAACTGTACACCTGAATTCCAGGCCAACGAAGTTCGGAAAGTAAAGGTCAGAGGGCAAGGGTCATGGGCAAGAATCCCTGGGATGGCACTGAGGCAGGGTGGGGGTATTTTGGTCCTACCTAAGGCCTTTCCCACCGTGGAGTTGAGTTCCTGAGCATAAGAGCCTGAGGGGGGTCTTCAGGCAACAGAAGGGGACCAGTGAGCAGCACCTACCACCAGCCATGTCTCCTCTCCCTGGTGGGAGGTGCGGTCTGATTGGTCCCCTGGCACGGCCAGAGGAGGGGCTGGCACAAACTTGTCCCAGACCGAGCCCGATGAAGGGGACTCGGGATTGCCGTTCTCCTCCCTCCCAGAAATACGAGCAGGGGTTCATCACAGACCCCGTGGTGCTCAGCCCCAGGGACCGCGTGCGGGACGTGTTCGAGGCCAAGGCCCGGCACGGCTTCTGCGGCATCCCCATCACCGACACGGGCCGCATGGGCAGCCGCCTGGTGGGCATCATCTCCTCGCGGGACATTGACTTTCTCAAGGAGGAGGAGCACGACCGGTTTTTGGAAGAGGTAGGTGCACGGCAGAGCCGAGTTCCGGCAGCCCGGCTGCCGACAAGGAGCCTCTGGCCTGTGGCGGCTCTGAGGTCTCTGCCTGGCCCAGTGCCCGATCCTCCCGTAGATCTCCACCCCCCACCCCCCTGCACACACCGAGGGAGGCTCGGTCTGCCCGGGGGATGGCCAGCGTGCCTGCTGTGTTCCTTGCCAACCCCTGCGAGAGCAGTGCTCAGGGACCCTCAGCCGCCTCTGCTAATTGTCATTGGTCTGGTGCGGCCTTCTAACAATGGAACAGGCTACTCCACACACCATGTCCTTTTTAAAAATATATATATTAATTTCAGAGAGGAAGGTAGAAAGAGAGAAAGACTGAAACATCAATGATGAGCCCTGTTTTGGCTCAGAGGATAGAGCATCGGCCTGGGGACTAAAAGGTCCCAGGTTTGATTCCGGTCAAGGGCATGTACCTTGGTTGTGGGCACATCCCCAGTTGGGAGTGTGCAGGAGGCAGCTTAGTCGATGTTTCTAACTCTGTCTTTCTCCTTTCCTCTCTGTAAAAAAATCAATAAAATAAAAAACCATTAATGATGAGAGCGAATCATTGATTGTCTGCCTCCTGAACACTCCCCACTGGGGATCGAGCCTGCAACCCAGGCATGTTTCCCCTAAGTGGGAAACCTGGGACCTTTCGTCTGCAGGCCAGCACTCTCCACTGAGCCCCACCGGCTAGGGCCATAGTGTCATTTCTAGTCCATTCTCATGCTCACCAGAGTGCTGCCGACACTGCGGGCTCATGTGCGGGGGTGGTCTGGAGCAGAGGGAGGCCTGTTGGGAGGTCTGGCGCCACTTGGCCCTTCCTCTCGCTCCCCTCCTGTCTAGATCATGACCAAGAGAGAGGACCTGGTGGTGGCCCCTGCGGGCGTCACGCTGAAGGAAGCCAACGAGATCCTGCAGCGCAGCAAGAAGGGTGAGTCCTGGAGGCAGGGAGGCTCCTGGCATGGACACCCGGGTCCTGACGCCTGTCCGCTTTGCCCCAGGGAAGCTGCCCATCGTGAACGAAGACGACGAGCTGGTGGCCATCATTGCGCGGACAGACCTGAAGAAGAACCGCGACTACCCCCTGGCCTCCAAGGACACCAAGAAGCAGCTGCTGTGCGGGGCGGCCATCGGCACGCACGAGGACGACAAGTACCGGCTCGACCTGCTGGCCCAGGCCGGCGTGGACGTGGTCGTGCTGGTGCGCTGCCGCCATGGCGGGGGCGGGGGCCGTGGACGTGGTCGTGCTGGTGCGCTGCGGCCACCTGGGGGGGGGGGGGCTGCCGCTGTGCCGCTCACCGGCACTTCCTGTTCCAGGACTCCTCCCAGGGGAACTCCATCTTCCAGATCAACATGATCAAGTACATCAAAGAGAAGTACCCCAGCCTCCAGGTCATCGGAGGCAACGGTGAGGCTGGGGGCACGGAGGGCGTGGGGCCAGGAGGGAGAGGCGCCCACCTACACGCCCCCTGAGCCTTTGTTCCTCACGCAGTGGTCACCGCCGCTCAGGCCAAGAACCTCATCGACGCCGGTGTGGACGCCCTGCGGGTGGGCATGGGCAGTGGCTCCATCTGCATCACCCAGGAAGGTGAGGCTCACCGGGACCCTCAGCTCCACAGGACTGAGCCCAGAGCTCTCAGGGGCATGAGTGGGTCCCGATAGGGGCAGCCCGGGCCAGCAGGCCCCTGGACGGGCGACACGCTGGAAGCAAGACGAGCTCTCGGCTCCCTCATCGCCGTTCCCCCTCGCCTGGCCTCCCTGCTCTGCTCGGCCTCTCTAAACTCTGGTCTGTTTGTTTTATTTAGCAGCTCCCAAGATCCCTCCAGACATAAAGTCCCACAGCCCCAAATGCCCTTCTACTGTCACGGGCTGCTATAGTAAGTGCGGCCCGGCCCACTGGCCCGGCCAGCTGCCCACGCCCGGCTGCTTGGTTGACTGTAGCTGTAGCTCCCGGGGTTTGTGATGCTGACGGGTGGGCAGGGCAGACTGGATGACAGACCGTGGTTTTGGGGTCTCCTCAAAAACCAGCCCCCTTTCCCGGGGTGCTTACAGGGCAGGTCTCTCCCCCGTGGGCCCTGCTCTGCCCACAGCTGCAGTCGGGCACAGCTCAGGACCAACTCAGCACCCTCTTCCTCCCACTGGACCACTCCCGATCGTGCCTGAGCGGCCCGCCGTGCAGGGAGGGCGGGCCTCGGGGACTAACTGCACAGTGACCCTACCCACCTGTGCCAGTGGGCGGGGCTTTCCGCTGCTGACTGCATGTTCCTGGGCTGCCCTGGGCCCTGCACACGTGCACGTGCACACGGGTGAGTGGTGCCCATCACAGCTGTTTGTGCCGTTTGGGACAGAGGTGCCGCCGCTCGACGTGACTGGTCCTCAGCCAGGCTGCGGTCCCGGTGCAGGTGCAGCTGAACGCTGCTGGCCGCAGCTGGGGCCGCAGGGCCCCTTGCCTGTCCCCACCACCTCCACCCACCCATCTGCTCCCCTCTTTCCACAGTGCTGGCCTGTGGGCGGCCCCAAGCCACGGCGGTGTACAAGGTGTCCGAGTACGCGCGGCGCTTTGGTGTTCCGGTCATCGCTGACGGGGGGATCCAAAACGTGGGCCACATCGCCAAGGCCCTGGCCCTGGGGGCTTCCACAGGTGAGGCCCGCGCCCGGGAGCAGGCGGGGCGCCGCCCGCGCCAGGCAGGCCCCAGCACTGCCTCTCCCCGCAGTGATGATGGGCTCCCTCCTGGCCGCCACCACCGAGGCGCCCGGGGAGTACTTCTTCTCCGACGGCATCCGCCTGAAGAAGTACCGGGGCATGGGCTCGCTCGACGCCATGGACAAGCACCTCAGCAGCCAGAACCGCTACTTCAGGTGGGACTCAGAGACGGCGCCTTCGCCCGGCACTGCCAGCTCCCGTGCTGACCCTGTCCCCTGCCTCCCTGCAGTGAGGCAGACAAGATCAAGGTGGCCCAGGGCGTGTCTGGGGCGGTGCAGGACAAGGGCTCCATCCACAAATTTGTCCCCTACCTGATCGCCGGCATCCAGCACTCCTGCCAGGACATTGGTGCTAAGAGTTTGACCCAAGTCAGGTAAGGGGGGGGGGGGCGTGCCCGTGGGCGGGGGGCTGGCCGGCCGTGCCCACCGCCGCGTCCCTCCAGGGCCATGATGTACTCCGGGGAGCTCAAGTTTGAGAAGAGGACGTCCTCCGCGCAGGTGGAAGGCGGCGTCCACGGCCTCCATTCGTAAGCGCCCGCCCGCCCGCCCGGGGGGGGGGGGGGGGGGGCCCTGCCTGCTGCCGCCCCCTCACAGCCGGTCCTCTGTCTGCAGGTATGAGAAGCGGCTTTTCTGAAGAGGGATTCCAGCATCGTCCCTCCCTTGGTTTTTCAATAAAATTTTGAAAAAAGTGATGCGTGGTCTTTGAGGTCAGGTGGGGGGGCTCTGCCACTGCACCCCTCACACAAGCACCAAACACAGCACCTCTCCCTGGGGTCAGGGTGGCTCCAGGGACCTGGAGGGGCCGGTTCAAAGCATCCCTCCTGAGGGAGCTCACAAGCCAGCCCTGAGCAGCCACGGCTCACGAGGGTCCAGGGTTCGAGCTCGGCATCTGACTAGCTGCTTAGGGGCCAGGACCATGGGGCTTTGGACCAGCATCCAGAGCCTTCTGCTGGCCAAAGCTTGGCCACATGGTCCAGGTTGAGCCCCTCATGCTGGTGCCTAGATTCCATCTGTAAGGAGCTGTGAAGAGGTCACTCCCAGCTGCAGGTGAGCGCGGACAGACCTGTGGTTTGGGAGGAGGGCCCCTTGGTCCTTCACGAGGCCACTGAGCCCGCAGCCCCTGGCCAGCAACGCACCACGCAGAGCTGATTAAGAGTTTAATTCGGGGAGGCAGACACCGCACAGGCTACAGGGAGGGGCTCCGGGAAGGTCAGGTGGGTCCCTGTTCACTCTGCAGCTTGGGCCAGAGGAGCGAGCGTGGTCCCTCCAGGTGGGGGGATCAGCGCGGCTCCTGTCGCTCGGCCTTCGTGACACAGGAAGTTGAAAGTGGCACAAGCGTTGGGCTGCAGGGAGAGCCAGCGTCAGCGGGGCTAGGACCAGGCCGCGCTGCCCTCCCCATAGCCCCCACGTCCCCACTGACCGTGTCCTGCACCTCCACGGCCAGGCCCCGCTGCCTCATGGCGCGCAGTACCCGCGAGGGCAGCCTCTCGGTGCGGTCCCCGGTGCCCACCACCACGATCTCTAGGGCAGGAGGACACGGCGGGCTGCAGCTAGGCCTGCTGGCGGGCCGCGCGGGGGCTGGGGGGCTGGCTCACCCCCGCGCTTCCCTCCTTACCTAGCGGGGGCTCCAGCATCCAGAAGAGCGAGAAGCTTTCCTCCGTGATGTCCAGGTGGGACCCTACCTGTGCGGGGAGGGGGCAGGTGTCAGCAAACCCACGCAGCTTCGCGGGGAGCCGCTCCCCGGGGCCACGCGAGCCCGGGGAGCAGGGCGGGCGGGGCGCGCTCACGTTCCACTGCAGCACCGAGTGCGGGAGCAGCGCGCAGGGCCCGAACACGCGGTTCCCGTTGACCACGAAGCCGCGGCTGCTGTAGCTCTCCACGTAGGCGGCGTGCGGCGCGTCGCGCTGCAGCAGGGAGATGTGCGTGCGCTGGTACAGCTCGTCGTCCGCCGGCGTGAGCCGGTGCCCGCGCCGCGGGGCCCTGCGGGGCACACGGTCAGGTCTCGGCGCGGGAGCGAGGAGCCGGACCGGCTTCCGGGGAGGACGGGGCAGAACGCGGGCCGGACTCACCGCAGCAGCTCCGCGGGCGGCGGGCGAAGCACGGGCCTTGCTCGGCCCAGGCCGCGAAGCACGAACGCGGCCGCCATGGGGAACCGACAAGCGGGGTCAGCGAGGACGCGGCGGAGCCCAGCCCCGCGGCCACAGCGCCCCCTGCGGCCGGAGGGCGCCGCGCAGCTCGGCCGGCCCCGCGCGGGGGGCTAGAGCGCCGCGGGGCCTCCGGTCCCGGGAGGCGGGGCCCGCGTCCGCACCTGCCGCCGCCGCGCCCCGGGCCCCGCAGGACGCCGCGGGGGCGCCGGGCCCCTGGGGGCGGGCCCGGCCTCGGGACACCCCCTGGGCCCCCGCCGCGGCCCGGCGCCCGGCTCAGCCAGCCGCGGGGCCCCGGGGCCGGGCGGGGCGCACCTGGCCGAGCCGCGCACCTGGCCGGGGCGGGGCGCCGGCCCCCGGGCCCCTAATCCCGGCTTCGGGGCGTCGGGTTTCCAGGGCGGCGGGAGCTCGGGTTTCCCCGCGGCCTCGGAATCACGCCCCTTCCCAACCGTCCCCCGCGCGACCGTTGGCGTCGCCACCGCGCACCGCTCGGGGCGTGGCCACGCGTGGATTGGCTCCTCGGAGCGCGGGGGGCGTGGCAGGCGGCCTCTTCTTAAAGGCGCTCGGGGCGTGGCCGCGCGTGGATTGGTTCCTCGGAGCGCGGGGGCGTGGCCGAAGGCTCTTCTTAAAGGGGCCGGGCTGCGGCCGAGGGATCGGAAGGGGATGTCGCAGCCCGGCCCCCGTGGCTGCTCCGGCGGGACCTGCCGGGCCGAAGCGGACCAGGCGCTGCACGCGGCGGCGGCGGCTGGCGCGGCTTCGTCCCCGCTCGCTTCTTCCTTGTCCTCGGAGCTGCCCCGCCCCCGGCCGGAGCCGGCCTCGGGCCTCGGGCGCCCTCGCGGGTCCGGGCATCTCCGCGCTCAGTGCCGTGGCCTCGGGGGGATGTGCCGGTCTGCTCTCCGCGGGGCCGGCGGGCGGCAGGCTCGGTACCTACGAGACTGTCTCAGTCGGCTCCTGGGGGTCCTGCCGTCGAGGGCCATCGGGGTCCCTCGAGCTGGAGCCGGTAGCGCCCCCGGACAAAGGGCCGGTGCGGGTGTCCCCACGGCCGGCGCGCGGCTGGCTTCCTCCCCGGCCGGCCCTGCAGCCGCCCCGGTGGTCACCTCGCCGGCGCCCTGGCTCCCTGGCACCAGCAGCCACATGCAGCCGGGCTGCGGGGAACCTCCCCGCCGCTGTAATCCGGTTCGGGACTCGGTCCCCGGGGAGGCCCCCGCCGCCCCCCTATTGTTTGGGGGCCAGGTGAGCAGCTCATTCCCACTAGATTGGGTTTCACCGCCTACTCCGAGTGGTGCCTCCCGGGTCGGAAACGGGCTCTATCCTGGCCCCGGGCACCTCCTCCCATGGCTGGACCGCGGGCAACGGAATCCCAAAAGCAGCTGTTGTCTCCGAGCATTCCAGCTGCGCTTGGATTTCGTTCCCTGCTCTCCTGCCTGAGCAGCGTCCCCGCCCGGGAGGGGTGGGCGAACCCGACCCGGACACCCCCCTGGGCCGCACCTGTCTCCGGCCGGAAGGAGCGATAGACGCCGGGGAGCCCGGGGCCGCGGACAGCTGGCTCGCGGAAGCCCTTCGCCTGGGGACGAAGCTCTCCACGTGCCCAGAGGACCGGAGCCCGGCGGCCCGGCGCCAGTGCCCGAGGCGCGCTGCTGCGCGGACAGCGCGCGGGGCGGACACGGCACCTCCCGCCACGGGCGCAGGGACAGTCCGGGCGCCGTGTCCGCCCCGCGCGCTTCGGCACCGCCGGGGGGTTCGGCCGGCTTCCCGCCCGGGCCCCCTGTTCGCTGCTGCGGGCAGAGCGCGGTTCTGCGCGCCCCGCGCGGCGCCGGTTTCGGTTTCGGAGAGGAAACGGGGGTCACTGGAGCGGAAGCCCAGGTGCCGGCCCGGAGCTCCCGCAGGGCGCTCGCCGAGGCGGCGGGCGGTTAAGGAGACGCTTCACTCCGGGCGGCCCGGACCCAGCCCGAGGGCCACCTGCCGGGCCCGGAGGAGGAGGGGCCGCAGTAACCGGCGCCGCGGCACCCACTCCCTCCCCTCCCCTCCCCTCCGAGGGCTCCGGCCGTGACGGCGGGGGGCGTGTGCGGGCGCAGAGCCCCGTCACGGTCCGCGGGGCGCGGGTGGCGACAGAAGCCCAGACCCGGGGGAACCCGAGGGTCGGACCCGGGACTGAGCGGGACCGGGGCCCGGCGGCGCCCAGCTCCCCCGGTGCACCTGCCCGCTCGGGGCCGTCCCGCCACGCCAGTCGCCCTCCCGGAAGCTCGGCCTCCAACATTTGTTTCCGGTTCCGCTCGCGCCTTCCGGTTCCTATGGCGACGGGGCGCCTCGGGCTGGAGGAGACCCTGGGGGCCCTCAACGCGGCCCTGGGCCCGGGCGGCCCCGTGTGGTTCAGGGAGACGCGCGCCCGCCACCTGCGCGCCCGCGACTTCCTGGCGCCGCGGCGGGCGCTGGGGGCGCGCTTCGGGGACGAGCAGGTGCGGGGGCGGCGGGGCCCGGGAGGGATGGCCGCGCGGGGCGGCGGGGCCCGGGAGGGACGGCCGCGGGGGGCGGCGGGGCCCGGGAGGGATGGCCGCGGGGGGCGGCGGGGCCCGGGAGCGCTGGCCGCGGGCCCGGGAGCGCCGCCCCTCACCGGCCTGTGGTCCCGCAGGTGCCCGAGCGCGTGCTCCGTGCCCTGGCCGACCTGCGGGGCCCCGGCGTGGCCCCGGTGCTGCGCTGCGAGCCGACCCCCGCGGGGCTGGCGCTCCGGCTGCAACGCGCCGCCGTCTTTGAGCGGGTGCTCGGGGCCGTGGGCGCCTACGCCGCGCCCGCCCGGCCCGCCGCCGGGGCCCCGCGCGTCCTGCTGCACTGCCCCGCGCTGCGCGCCGCCCCCCGCGCGCTCCGCCTGGGCCAGCTGCGGGCCGTGCTCGTGGCCGACCACCTGGCGCGGGCTCTGCGCGCCCACGGGTGAGCGGGGCGTGTGGAGGGGCGCGCCCACGGGTGAGCGGGGCGGGAGGAGAGGGTGTGCCCACGGGTGAGCGGGGCGGCAGGAGGGGCGCGCCCACGGGTGAGCGGGGCGGCAGGAGGGGCGCACCCACCGGTGAGCGGGGCGGGAGGAGGGGCGCGCCCGGGGGCTGGAGGCTGCGGGCGGGGAGCAGGGCGGGCCGGGCCGGGCGCTCCTGCTAAGCGGCGTCCCCGCTCCGCAGGGTGAGGGTGCGCCTGGCGCCCGCCGTGCGGGACCCGCACTTGTCGGCCTTCCTGCAGCAGCTGCGGGTGGACTGGCCCGCGGCCTCGGAGCCGGCCTCGGCCGAAGCCCTGCGGAGCCGCGCTCTGGCGGAGGTCACCGCGGCCGGGGACCCGGGAGCTCTGCCCGCCGGCGACCTGGGCGGCGTGTGCCTGAAGGAGCTGGCGGGGGGGCGGGCGCGCGCAGCCGGCTGTGACCCCAACCTGGACGGCGGCCTGGGTAGGCCCTGGAGGGGGAGGGGAGGGAGGGGAAGCGGGGCCAGACCGGACCGCTAGCCCGTGCGTCTCCTGCAGTGACCGAGGACCTGCTCGCCCAGCTGGCGGACCTGCAAGCGGCCGCGCAGCCCGGGCCCGAGGACGTCTCCCCGGGCCTGGTCACTACCGGAGCCGCCTGTGGCCTGGGCGAGGCGCCCAGTCCCGGTGGTGATGGTGACAGCCCCCTCCCGCAGGCTCCCGCCCCCGGCGCCACGGACAGCTGCGTGGCGGTGCACGTGCTGAGCGCCGAGGAGGAGGCCCAGCAGCAGCAGCAGCTGGACCTGCTTTGGCGGGAGCTGGACGAGCGGGCGCCTCCTGTGCAGGTGGGCGGGGACGGGCTCAGAAGGGACAGACTGGTGAAGGGACCGCCGCAGGTGCCGTCCTGGAGTGGGCGGGTCTGAGGACCTGGAGGGCTGGGCAAGCCGGCCCTAAGCCTGATGGGAAGAGGCTGGGAGCCCGCAGGACTGTCCTGGAGGGTTTATTGCTTGATCGCCGCCAGCTGACTGAGCCCGTTCTTCCGGACAGAAGCACCTGGTGTGCGGCCCGGTGAGAGCAGCCGGGGCGCCGGACACCCTGACAGCGCCGGAGTACTATGAGTGAGTGAGTGGGGGAGGCCGCGGGATGCCCCGTGGGGCTCTGCCCGGCCCTCCTCTCACCCTGTTCCCCACGCAGGCTCCGGCTGGCACAGGTGCGTGCAGCCTCGGCTCTGAAGCACGGCAGGGACCTGGCCCAAGGTGAGCCTGGGAGGCTCCGGCTGCCCCCACCCCCCAGGCTCCTGCCTGCAGCCTGACTGCCAACTCTGCCTGCAGACCCTGTCTGGACAGGAACCTTCAGCATTCTCTCTGCGGCCACCATCAAGTTTGAGATGCTCAGCAAGGCCCCGCAGGGTCAGGTGAGCCTGTGCCCGACAGGATGGGGCAGGAGCAGGCCTGGTGGCCGCTGGCTCTGAAGCTGTGCTTTCCACAGCTGCTCCTGGACCTGGCCGACAGCATGTCCACCAAGGGCACCCGGAGTGGCACCTTCGTCATGTATAACTGTGCCCGCCTCGCCACGCTCTTTGCGGGTTACCAGCGCGGCGTGGAACAAGGTCTGTACCCCCCTTCCCCGCCTGTGAGCAGCCTGGACTTCTCTCTGCTCCGTGAGGAGGTGAGTGCCCGCCCGGGAGTGGCTCCCTGGGGCGGCCTGGACGCCACCTCAGCAGCTTCTTCCCACAGGGCGAGTGGCTGCTGCTCTTCAACAGCGTCCTCCCCTTCCCAGACCTGCTGAGCCGGACCGCAGCCCTGGCCGGGGCCCGCACAGACATGGTGAGGCGCGGGCGGCACACGCTCTTTATTTGGGTCTGGGCACAGGGCGAAGGCGGGCCGGTGACTGTCTGTCTCCAGGTGTGCAGGTTCCTGGTGCAGCTCAGCATGGACTTCAGCTCTTACTATAACCGGGTGCACATCCTGGGGGTAAGGGCCCGGCGAGGGGAGTGGGGGGCAAAGAGAGGGGGGCAGCAAAGGACAGGACCCGCAGGCCACTCTCTTCCTAGGAGCCTCGGCCACAC